AGAGGAGAGGACAGCACAGGGCGGAAGAGTAAGGGAAAAACAAAACCGGCCGATGCCCGCCATTCTGACGGTGACGGTTTTTCTATTTCTATTTTTTTTCTCTTTTTCCCTCCCTTTTTTAACGGTGCCTTGTGCGGTTCGCCGTGGAAGTATGGGCGCGGTGTTCGGCCGTTTTTGTTGGTTTGTCTGCGGCGCTGTCGATGCGGCTTTAACGTTATCCGCGAATTATATTTAACTTCGTGCTTTAATACACATTGCGGACAATTTTTGAATACAGATTCCTCGCTAGCATTTAGGGAAGTCAATTTGTTATAGGATCTATTTCCTTAGTACCTCAAACTCTTTCCATTGTCAGAAATCGTACACGGAAGCTTTTGTTTATTCACACGGTTTTATCAAATTATTTATAGACTTTTAGACATAACTTTTTCACGTGTTTCCATCCGGTACCATCAGCTTTTCTACTATAACTGATGGCGGTCGGGATGTAGATAATGACATTAGGATCTCACTCTTTTAACACTGATTTCTTGCCGCCGCGCCGCCAATCACCTTGGTAACTTTTCGAAAATGGAGAATAGACGTCAAGCCCGAGAAGAGAATACCAGCATCCCAATGACCTGAATCTGATATCTATGTCAGTTTCGTTACCGATCATATCTTATTCGAAACTTCTGGAATTTAAAGTAAAATTAACATACACATATGTTTGGTTGCGTTTTACCTATTTACGGCATGCAATTGTTGTAAGTGTATATTCGATATTACTTTATCGCCTTTGTTTTATAATTAGTGTCGACTTCCTTGAAGTTAAAACTGATCGATTTTATTTAGAATCAAATAAGTATCAAGAATCTTTCTCCGTTTAATTATTTATTTTATAAATGATCTAAGCCAAATAGAATACAATACTTTCATTCCAAAATGTGGCACAAGAAATTAACAACAATTTTGGCAAACGAAAAATTCGGGGGCATGCCGCCGATATAATAACAATATTATTTTTTCAAAACTGGCCATAAGAGCGATTCATAATCTAAATTCGAAATCTAATTTCGGATTCCTGATATAGAAATTTATGAAAATAAATATTTTAACCTTGACCATTCACTATGTGAATATGAGAAAGAAACATTATTAATTTTAATAAGAATACATAATGTAAATACTAGTAAAAAAAAAACAAAAGCTTGCAACATCAAAATCCCTGTAAATACGCAAAGCGTGCCTATTAATAAGTGTAAGAAATTTATTAAAGAAAAACTTTGTTGAAAGTGTTATTTTAATATTAATGCATGCATTAGTAATAACATCCGGCAACGAATGGATCGCATCCAAGCTATTTTTAAAATTCTGTATGTTTAATATTTTATATGTGTATATGTTTTAAAAAAATGAGAAAATAGCGGATACCTACCGAGTTTCCTTCGCCTGTTTCTTTTTTGTTAGAGGAACCTCATTACGAAACGGTGGTGAATAACAAAAAAAAGACTATCGATATATGAAATGTTTGTTTCTTATTTCGATGAATAAATTATTTGATTTTGATTTGGAAATTAACTTAAGCCGCGCACCAGCCTATTATATTCTGCAACGCTAAGATTTTCAGCATTTTCCCCGGCCTCTATATCCAGTACAGCCTTCAAACGGTTACGTACACTGGAATTTTATCTAAAACAAAGACGACGTAAGCGACGGAAGCGTGCGAATGGCACACGATCCCAAAATCGGCGGTCGTCCGAAAAAATCCAGAACATCCTCCACCCATCGACAATTGCGGACACCGGAACAATGATGACGTTCGCATTAATGCATTTTAAAGGTCTGTAAGCACAAAGCATTCGCCAATAGCATCACAAACAGCCATCGGGAGTAGTAAAACGCGACTGGGCTACCGTCGGGGTGGTGGAGAGGGGTGGAGGGGGTAGGAAGTCTGTTACTTTTTGCGAGCGCTGCTTACATTGTCCTCCGCAAACACGGCATCGTTTATTCATACGATTCTAGCTGCCTACAGTTCGGTACGCGCGCGTGGGGACTGGAAACGGGACTAATACTTTTATGAATTTTCCCCCGACGGTTTCCTTCCTGTTGGGTGATCGAGATCGAGTTTTTCTTCTTCCACGTCGTGATCTTCATTTCTGAAGGTCGTGCCTAACTACTCCTGTCGCCGTTGGTAGGCAAGGGTGGTGGAGTCTACTAGTTTCGGCCAGGAAGGAGTACCTGTCTTCAGCCCGTTGGAAGGCAGTGGTAATAAGCGGGGCCTTGATCTGGTTGGATCAGCGGTGTGGTGAGATGAAGTTACAGTGTATTTAATATATTTTAATTCTGGCCGTAAATCCTCAGGCCGGTGCTTAGCACCTCAGAGCGGATGAAATGCTGTGATATTATAAAAAACCGTTACGCGCAAATTTATCGAGTTCATAACCCTTCGGGTCTAGAAATTCGAGACTGACATTGGTCGTATGCAGGCGATATCTGAAGAAAATTTTCCATAATAAAACTGGTGGCTAGTGAGAGCAATTTTGTTAAAATTCCAAAGTCAAAGTAGATAAGAGAGAGCTAATATTTTGTGACTTCAATAATGTTGGAATAATTACTAATCAAAACAGCGGCGTGCATCAAGTAGCGATAGACTTCGGCACTGGAAAGAGAATTTGAGATAAATGTTCCGGAAATGGAATGCTATCTTTGCTTAATTTATATTTATTAATCTCTACAATATTGGTTAATTTTATGATACAAGTTATGCTAGAATGTTTTAGACAATTACGTAAAAACTAAACAAACGGGAAAACATGAGGGAAACATCATGTCATTCGAATCAATTCAAAAATGGAACGGCACCAGCTACAGATGGCCGCTTCGTGCTGATACCTGTCGATAGCGATTGGGGGCATTCCTCCATTGTTTACCCGCTCTAATGAGTCGTCGAACAAATCGTGTTTTGTTCGAAGGCCGCTCGGCAAACGTCAAAGCAACAAAGGTGCACAAAACTCCCTTCTATCATTTCGCAACGTTCGAATAAATCGAGGATCATTGACGAGGAGTGGGACGAACAAACGGTTCGATGTCAATCCAGTAGGTAATTTTCGAATACACCAACAGCCGTTAGAAGTGTACCTTACTGTGGTGGGGCCACGCAGCAGTCTTCGCTGTTGCACGAATGGGCAGGTCCGTCCGGGGAAGCACCGCGACCTCACAGAAGATCGGCATGAAGTGGAAGTGTTAAACTCGAGGAGGTATTTTACTTTTTCTTTTACTCCGGTAAGTGGGGTAACCGGGGCACACTTTATGAAAGTTGGTAACGCTGCGGGTGTAGTAAATGTACATGGCGGCGCGTATCACTTAACATCAAGAACCAACAGCTCGCTTGCCATCCTCTTACGAAAAAAAAACTTAATCTTGCAGGCAGTTGAGAAAAATTCTTAATTGCACTATATTTTAAATGCGTGTTCACGACCTATACATTCAGAAATGGTGACACGTATTTCAATGAAATTCGGGACGGAAAAACGCATCGTTATTCTATTTAAAATTCTTATAAACACAATCGCCGCACAGGGCGGCAGTGTGTCGCGCGTGTTTGTTTTCATCGCTGTCTGATGCACCTACAGCGTTCCCTCAATAATTCTATCCGCCAACTGTTAGGGGCGTCGCTCCGTAGTTAATATTAATTAAGGGTGGGGGTGGGGCATTGTAGTTCATGTAATTGGTTTCCATTTATCGTCGCCGAGGTGTCGTGCAACCCTTGCGTTGGGCGCTTGCTTCTGCGTCTTGTAGTTTTTTTTTAAATTTCAAAGTCGTTTTTCAAAATTTCAAATTGGTTTCAACATTGAATTATGCGAATCACATAAAAATTACAATGTTTAAATTGCACATTCGGAACGGAAACAAATCGTTTTATTTTTCATTAATAAATTGTATATTTTGATTGCAATAATTAATAATATATTTTAAAAGTGTTCTTAGTATAGTATTAAAGCAAAGTAGGTACTCCCCCATGTTTCATATGGGCGCATAGATAAACATCGAGATCTGGATGGAATAAATGACTTACTTAACAAATACCTGCTCGTGCTTTATTCGAACCCATGATCCATGGCGCCGATGGAATTTATTACTGAATCATTCAGGCCATGAAATGAATTAATTTAATCTATTGCACGATTTAATCTCTTAAATTATTTCTCAAACGTGTGTTTTTGTCGTTACTTCATAATCAAGAACTCATAATTCATACGCCACAATATTAAATTTAATGGATAATTTTTCAGCTCTAAGCAAAATAGACAGATAGAATAAAATTAAAGTTTCCATAAAATAAAACTTTCGTTTAAAATTTTCTAATAAAGAATGTTTTATAACGCCATCTATTGATAATTTGTTTTAAACTGAAAAACGCCACTTTTCATAAGATCTTTCAAGCATAAATACTTATTTACACAGAATTATATTACCATTCTGTGACCGATCACTGTACTGTGCTTGTAGCACATATTAGATGACCTTTGCTGTTCGCACAGGTCAGTATTTATTTTTGTTATAATCGAATGCTTTTAATTGGCAAAAAATCTCGAAAAAGATCTCGTCCCATAATGATAAAGGCCAAGATACTATTTTCTTCATCTTTATATTTCAACAGTAAGAACATAAATACGCAAAATATTTACGACATTTAGAATTTATACGCACTCTCTCTTACTTATTTGTAAGTCTCAATTTCTATCATTCAATACAACATTTTTGGAACCACTAACTGAAAATATTGTTAACACCGTTTTAACATAGCCATATGTTTTTAATCATTACTCAATGTGTTGTTGTGTGAGTGTTAAAACGGTGTTAACAATATTTTCAGTTAGTGGATCCAAAAAGAACGGAACAAATGTTCCGCATCCAAAATACGGTAGCCCCGTCTGGTGATTGGTAGCGGTATTCCCCGTGCCGTGGAACCTGACAGCCTTGTCGAACGCCATCAGCAGAACTCATTACCCCATCTAATCGTGCCCCGCCGTTACCAGGGCCACATAAGCGGCATATGTCGGATCCCAATTTACGGCGATTTTCCTCGCCCGCCTAGCGTTAAGTTTTTTCGGGTGCGTTCCTTTTTTGTCTCCACCAACCACCCTCTTTTTGTGGATGACGCGCTGATTAGGCTACGATGCCATTGGTCGAGCTCTTGCCGTCCAACGGTTGGCTGGTAATCATGTGGCAGTGCTAGAGAAAGGCGACTTTTTTCGGCGGGCGAGAGCAGACAACGTACCCGGCTGGGCCAAATAGACTGCCATTGTGCCGGGGGAATCTATTAAGGCGTGGACGGACTGCGTATGCGCAGGAATGACTGGTCTTTTCCACGCTTTACACGGAGCCGGAGTTCGGTCTATTATGTCGGTAACTGGCAATGAATTGAAGACGGTAGGAGGGTTTCTTTCTTATGTCCGTACAATGTTGAGTCGGTGATAGTCTTTTTTTATCAATATTTGATGTTTTTTGTGTGAATTTTTAATGAAACGTGTTGCTGAACAGATGTTTCAGGGAACAAAAACATAAAGCGATTTAAATCATTATCTTTTTGTAACCAACCTTATAATAATGGTCAGTAGGCGTAAAGTGTCATACAAAAACGTGCCGAAATCGGCTTATTACAAATAGTAGGTTCTGTTATTTTACTTGACAGCTAAATGTTTTTCTAATTTTATTTCATCAATAATCCTAATTTTCGATTTCAATTCTCTTGAAATGTAGAAAATGAGTTCCGTTTCGAGGTTCGTAGTAATTTCTTCTGTGATAGTACTTTGCCGTTTAATTCAGTTATTTTAAACGTTTTCCATGGGCTACTGTCAGCATTACGGTTAACGTTTCTTTTGGTCTATTTCAAAGTTATGGTAACGAGTGCGATTAGGTAATTCACACTCAGAGCAACAGATGTAAATGGCGTTAATAAACCCTTAGTGGCGAACGCCATTAACTGTCTATCACTCAACTAAAGAAACGCAAAAGTTATTTTCGTTATTTTAATTCATGTCGGTGCTTTGTGAGGTCTGCACTTCACCGTTCGACTAGCATGCCAGGTGATGTTATTCAAGCTGTTTCTGTTCTAACACCATCACTGACGGACAAACCCAGTATAACTACAACATTAGGTCATTACGCGCCAGTTCTGCCGTTGACCAGGCACAATATGTGTACGCCAGACGTTGAGCAGTCCCCATCGAAATTGACTTCCTAAGATATGTGTAAGTTATACCCGTAGTTACATAATCGCTTAATCCATACATTGTCATGAGACTGTCGCGTGTACTCATAACGACAGTGTTCACATTGTTATTCGCACAGCCAATTTGAACGGAATATCGACGCCATTTGAGTCTGTTTGAAATGTCAATAATGTGCACTAAAAGCGCGTTTCACAAACATCGCGGCCACTTAAAGAGTCACGGGTACGAAGATCGTCAAAAACCGGCTCCTCTCCGCTGAACAAACAATAGAGGACTCAACAGGCTATCCGAAATCGGCCAGCCTAAGAGCGTAATCAAATATTGTATTAATGCAAATGAAGTGAGTGGACACAAAGTGCGAAAATCGTGCTTTTGTGGACGCCAAATAATTGATATTGTAAATTCCATTTCCGAATTCGAACGATAAGTCACAGTAATTAATATTGGTAGAAAAACTTAATGAAAGGATATTAACCGCTGTGGAAATCGATCCCATCTTCCGGATTCGCGCCTAGACGTCCATTTTTTCTGCAAGTTTTAATGTTTCATCGTAAATGCGGAGATCATCACTATAACGATTTAAAATCAAGTCATAGCTTAGACATAAATAAGACTGAGACGATGCATCAGACTTTATACACGATAATGTTCGAAACATACATAAAACACACTAGGGCAATGAATTTTTAGAATGCCATGATATGCGTTTCTTCTGCCTAACGTAAGGACATCAACTGATTAAAGACTTCCATTTAAAGAGTGATAAGTTCACGTAACAGAAACGTAAAGTTAAAATTAGAACCGATTTAAATAATAGCATTGTCGTTCAGATGTGAAAATCCTCTAGATTAAAGTCCATAACACGAACTGATAGCGAGAACCGCGTCGTGTTCTATTGTACTGTCATGGGTCCTTAATTCGTGTCAGTAACAAAAGGTCTGTTTTTTTATGCGATAAAGTGACAAACGAGCTGGCGGGTCACCTGATGTTAAGTGATAACCGCCGCCCACGGACATTTGCAAAACCCGTAGGGTTAAAGCTTCGTTGCCATCTTGTAACAAATTGGGTTCCGGCTACCTCACTCACCAGACGAAACGCAGAAGCGTAATACTTCTACTTCACGCTGGACTTCTGTGAGGTAGTAGTGCTAACCCGGATGGACCTGCCCCTTCCTGCAACAGCGAACACTGTTGCGTAGTCCTACAACAGTTAAAAAAACTCTAGAAGTGGGTAAGAATTGAAAGATACGTATACAGTCATATCGAGGGAACGTGTTAAAAGTAAACTTGATACACTAAGAAATTCCATTTCTCTCGCAACGGGGGTAGGTTCGTCACATATTATTTCGGCTGCGCCCGCCGCCTACTGGAGGCTGCGCGTAGTGTCGCGCGCTTATCGCCGCCTCGCAGGCCACCGGAGGCCCGCATCCAAATACTTTTGTCTCTCCCCAATGTTGTTGTTGACGGAGTGGGGGGGGAGGCATTTTGCGTCGTTTAATTACCGCGCGCATTTTTACCGGCACCGGCAGTCAGACAGTGGGATAAGTTGACCGGCATTGTGTCTCTTATGCCCGGTTCCTATATTCACCGAACGGCCGTTAGCTACGAAGCTTCGTAACCTTCACAACAACTTGTAGATTAAAGGAACGCTAGTAACACACTCCGTAGGTAATGCAACGGCTCGTAGGGAAAACGCCTCGTTTCGTTAATATAGGAACCGGGCGTACAAGATTGTCTCTTATTCGGCCGTTGCGTTCGCCTCCATTTTCTATTTACGTCATGATCTTAGTTATTGTGGCCGGTCGAGGTTGACGGTCTGGCGGGGCTTACACATTTTGTTCCGGGCGTCACGCGAGATTGATTTTGACGGTCAAAGTCAATGGAGACTGTAGATGCTGAGACAGAAAACGCATCGGTGCAAGTTGTTGATTGAATCGCTACATTTAAAGCGTGGTATTGATAGAATTTTTTAATTTCTTTGTCGAAGTGCTTTTCGCCAATAAATATTTGATTTTAAGTAATTTCAAATATATCATTGGTTGGATTCTAAGCTTGTAAATTTACAACTTTTTTGTTAAAATAATTTATAACCCATTTTTTTGCTGACTCAGATGAAGTGTATTGAATATTGAATTCTTCTATGGAATCTGGAAGCAGTTTACAATTAGCAAGCTACAATTTGCCTGATAGTATTATTTAGCATTTATTTTAGATAAAATAGAACTCGACAGAATAGACCAACATGATATACGATGGATTCGGCAACCAATTGATAGTGTGGCTAACAATGTTTATCACACTAATGGCTCACATGTTAATGCTTGGTAATTTAGCCTATCATAGCTTTGAGTGAGCGCCGTGATAGCTCAGTGTCCGGGCGCTCGCCTTTAATTTAATGTACTCGAGCAACCTGAGTTCGATCCCCGGTGCCAACACCAATGAAATTGTCAATTTTAAGTGCTGAATTATCACGTGCTCAGCGGTGAAGGAAAACATCGCCAGAAAACCTGCATAATTTCGAAATAATAACAAAAAAAAAAATATTTCGAAGAAATGTGAAGTCCGCCAATCCGCAGTGGGGCCGCGTGGTGGACTATGCTCTGATACCCTCTGTACAATGGAGGACTTTGCCCATTAGTGGGACATGCATAGGCTGATACTTTACTTAGCTTTGAGTATCTTATTATTGATATCTTAATTTGTAGAAAAATGGACGAAAAGTAATAAAATCTTTGCATACTCTGTCCAATAAAATCGTGCTCCGTATCACTGAAATTCACGAGTTACAGTAAAGTTATCATCTTTTTTCAGAAAACCAACTGAGCCTAGTAGCCTTTTCAATGGCCTCTTTTGATAGAAACCTGTAATATTGTCATGAATGACTTAGAGAAATTGGTAAGATTTTTTAAGTGCACTTACCTAGTCTCAGATCTCTGTACACGCCACGAGTACCACTATAAAAAATCCATAACAATATTATAAATGCGATATTAATTCTGTCTGTCTCGCTTTCACGCCAAAACTACTGAACCGATTTAAAGGAATTTTGGTATACACATAGTTCTAGACTATGTGCCTGAGAAAGGACATAGGCTATTTTTTATTGGAAAAAAGTGTTGTAAAGGGTTGAAAATATCTTGATATTTCTTCAAGGGCTTCAACGCGAGCGAAGCCGCGGGCGAAAATCTAGTTTAATATAAAGTATTAAATTTAAAACATAATGTTTAAAAAACTGTGAGAAACAACATCCTTTAATCTGGGAACACTTACTTCGAGAAAGTTATTTCGAGGCATTGCTCTTAAGTAAATATAAACGTCAGTTTAAATTCGTATGCAGGAACGTAAAACGTAACCATAATTATTCCTTAAATATACATACATACGACGCAGGATTAATTCTTTTTAAAAGTGCCCCTTTCATTCAAACAGCTATGTATGTACACGCGGTCTAACGTTTTCATAATAACATAAAGCCTCTGTTAAGATTATACTGTATACGTGAAATGTAAGGGCGCATTCGCATCGGGGACGTACGTAGGAGCGGCCTCGGCACAAAGTCCTTTCACGATGTACGCTGTCTATTTTTATGCGAAATTTATTTTGACGCGGGACAAACGTTCAGAATGGAAATTGTAAGGGATGAAATCAAATTATTACTTTTAGCCAGAATACGAAGCTTTTGTGCCCTTTCCTGCGTTACAGAATGTAAGCCTTTCTCAACTTTGGAGGCTTTTGTCTTCCTCTAAAACCTGCTGAAGTACTCGTAATGCGAAGATAAAGAAATATGGATGTCATGTGCGTGTTTTAATTTTCATGAATCATCTTTTGGATTGGGATGCTGAAAAAAAATTCTTAATGTAAATGATTGTTCTCTGAACTGTATTTTTAGTTACATTATCCGCTTTGTACATTAGGTACGAATCATAAATTTAGGGACCTCCGCCATATGTCATTGTGTTTTTTCCGATCCAAGATGACAGAGACAAGATCTCACCGTCACCGCCTACTCACCCCCCCCCCCCCCCCCAAAAAAAAACCCACGAAAACCTATTAAGATTTAATAAAATCATGACCTAAATACCATTTCTTACCATTTCAATTTTCCGGACGAAAGGGTGGCGCGCGCTCGCCGTGCCTTCTTTGTTGCCCCCCCCCCCCCCCCCTCGCCCGCTCCCTTCGCCCCTCGCCCAACACCCCCCATTGTGGCGCGGCACACAAGCTTTCAGAGTAATGAAGAGCATTTTCGTCCGATTCCCGGCACAATGGCCGTTTTAATACAACGCAGAGAGGAAACTCCTTTGTCGCGCTGCTTATTGTGCCGTGCGAGTGTGTTACATACGGGACCCGTTGTTTTTTGTCTTGCCCTTTGTTTGCGCGATTGTCGCCGACAAAGATATGTAATGTAAAACATCTACGTCGCGAATGGGACGCTCTGCGCTCCTCTCTGCGCTCGCACAAAGGTGTTTGCCGATTCGCGTTTGTTTCTTTAGTTCTTTCTTCAATCCGTTATCCGTAGCAGTCGGCACGATGGCGCGCGTACCGTTCGGGATTGGTTTGTTGTTTTTAATAGGGCTTAATCTATTATAAGCTATAGTTGAGTAGCTTTCGCTAAAGATTCTATTAAACGTAATCCAAAGTGGAAATTAAAATTTAGCTACATCACTTATAAGACACTAACTAGATTTTTAGAATTTTCGAATCAAGAAAACTCCAATAAGAGTTTATAAAGTCTTAGTTTTATTTACTTTAAATGTTTCTAGTATGATGCACAATAACAAACACATCATTTTAATTTAACACAGTAACTATTATATACACATTATTTTGATACAAATTACTTGTTACTAGTCAATTAATACCTATAATAGTCAATTATAATTAAATTTGATTTAATTTAGTTATTTTAAATGATTAAAATAACTAATTACCCAGGTGAAACAGTTTTTAACATGTTATAATGATAACGAATTGTTAAATGCCTACTGGCGCTTCTGCGCGGATCTAATCGTTGTTCGATGTTGCCAGCGTGGCCATTGTCTAACGCAGAGGCGGGTTGTAGGAAATAATTATTGCAGAGTGGCAACACTTTGTAGTGCCGGCACGTGTCCCCGGCGAGTTCGATTGGTAATTGTTAATTAAATTTCGAATAACGGGCCGTTGAGTGTTGTTTTTTTTTTAAGTGTTTGGGGACAGAATTCGAAGACAAATAGGAGTTCACTTATATACAGTGTGACTAGAAAGGATATAACCTTCTTACATGATCATTAATCTAATAGAAAATAAAGTAACAGTCTACAAATTCTTCAGGTGTACATATTACTATTTAAACTGTAAAACGTTAGTTTTCTCTGATCCTCATCATTTGGTTTAGAGTATAGAGGTTGCTGTTTTTGTCAGCATTTCTGGTTAATGTTCATACCTAATAAATACAACCATTTATTTATTAATAAGCCTCCCACTGAAAAGGAAGCGCTATGAATGAAACTTTTTTGCAATTGAATTAAACCCTCTCACCAAATTGACAAAATTAGGTAGGGTTTCAACAAATGAAATTCAATATATTTCTAAAAAGACGTTTAAATGTTAATACAGCTTTCAGTAGGACATAATCTTGGGCTCATTTTATTACATGTGCCTCCTATATACTCATACTTCTACAGTGTGAGCGCGCCTTTATCGATCCTTAAACAAGTATATTAAAGTGTAATGTTATACAAACACTTATTAAGCAGTGTAACCATGCATTGATGAAGCGAGGCGTGTACGCAGCGTTGCAATGGAACAACTCATTACAATACCAAGAGCCGAGAGCGTGGCGATTTTCGCGGGCGGAGCGGAACGGATACCTCGCATTAAACAAACAGACGGACGTCAACCAACAATCGACAGATCGGCTTGTAGTCGTGCATTAACATCACAAGCACGCGCGCCGGAGACAAAGGCGTCGGGAAAAATGCCGGCGACAGGCGTCCTCCTTGAGGCAAGCAGCGTCATTGTGGGCGCACAACGAGCACAAAACCCGCGACTCTAGCGACAGCCGTGCACTCATTGTCGGGGAGCGGGAAATCGCGCGCCACCAAGGCGTCATTGTCGACGTCGAAAGCGCCGCGTGTGTCTCAGCTCTGCAGCGCTTTGTTCGATGCAAACGTCGCCGTTGTCATACCGGATGCGTAATAAGTTCGGTGTATGATATGATGGCGTGTTCAGATGCAAATCCGGAGGCTGCCTGGAGCCATACGCGGTTCCCTCGCGCGGCGTCGTTGGTGACGTCGTTGGGTTACTTGAAGCGGGGCTTTGTCTCTTTCTGGCAGACGAAAACAGATTAACGTTTTAAAGTCGGATCTGTTGGGTCTACAATACAAAAGTCGAAAATGCCCTAATGCCTAGTACCTAATACTAAGTGTTCATATTATTATTTGGTTAGGATGCTTGAAGTTGCACAAACAGCTTTGAAGTATTATTCTTCTGAAGATGGTTAATTCATAAGCCACACAATGAAGCCCAAAGGTAAATCAATACTAATGTAACTGTTTTCTTTCATTTCAACAAATCTAAATGTTTAATTTTGCCTGCGTCATTTAATACTTCAAGGGCTATGCCTGTTAGTTGAATAGTCGAAAGTATATAGTCACACGTATTCACATCCGAATCCGGCGTTCGCATGGTCACGACCGCTCGGCCAGTCCCACCAAGTTTGTCGACAAAGCATCACCCACCCCCGAAGTATCGGCGAAATAATGAGGATCCGGGAAAAACTTGTGTAGCGGAATGAAAAGCGCAAATTCGTCATTAGGAGGCGCTTCCCGCCATTGTTGTTGCCGTCCTCCTCTCTCCGCTGCCGGCATCCAGGGGGGGAACGAGAGGATCGTACTGCCGGATTGTTCCTTTCAATGTTGGCGACATTGTTTCCCCTTTTGTGCCCGCCTGAATCAGGATTGTCTTGTCTGTATGAATGGACGGTGTTGCCCCTCCACGGTATCGATGAGATGAATAAAGCCTTCCCATAAATGGGGGAGAACAAAGGGTTGGTCTCTTGAATCGAGCCGGGCTGGTCGCCCGTGCTTTCGATTATATTGTATCGATTCAAAGCCATTGTGCCCGCAATGAGGGATGGTTAAAGCAAATTACTTTATTCTTTTTGTCTTATTGGAATAACAGTTTGCGACAGCCGTCGTTCGCGGAGACAATGGAGACCTCATCAGACCGAATGATCAGTAAATAGTGCTGAACGTTTGCGAACGGCAAAATGTTGACGCGACTTGGAGCAACTTGTACGTTCTATCAAATATATTGTTTATATAGTACATAAAGAAAACTGCTTTATTTATTTTTACATGTTTATGTGCAGATTTAACGTGTTTTCTTCTCGCAGTAGTTCCCGACGTTTTGAACAGCATACAGCGCCTATGATCGGTGGTTCGACAGAAGTAGTTTACATATTGAGAATATAGATTTTTTTGATAATTTAGGCAACATGATGGGAAATACGCAAAAAAAGCTTTGGCCGTGCACATACCGAAGAACATACATAGCTTCTAAACAAATTCGTATATTTCATAGTTATTAGCAAAATAGTCTATAGCAATTCATGTTTGTCAATGCACACTCACGTTAGCAGTATTTCGGAATAAACTAGGCTCTTTACGAAAAGTTTCTATTGGTATTAAACTGTTCATTAAATTACCTTTAATATCCCGCCCAGGCGCCGAATGGAAGCTTCTATCGGAGGACGAGAAGAGACCGTTCATAGACGAGGCGAAGCGACTGCGGGCGATGCACATGAAGGAGCACCCAGACTACAAGTACAGGCCGCGACGGAAGCCCAAGACCCTCAGGAAGGAGGGATACCCGTACTCCATACCGTACCCCAGCGTGCCAATGGACGCCCTCAGAGCCGGTTAGTCAGAATCTTATTTTTACAGTATTACAAACCTATTACATCATATTATTACACGATAGGTGGCAACGGAGCCATGGGCGCCCCTGACAGCGATAACGTTGCAGCTGAGTTACCAAAATTCCGGAAACGAATAGGAAATGGGGAGAAGATTCATAATTAGAACAGCGATAATTTTATGAAGGTGAAAGTCCATTGCTTGCGGGGGTGTTACCAATAGTAAGGATAATGCCTTAAGCGATACGATTTTCAAACGGAATGCTTTCTTTTTTTAATATGGGACAAAGTGTACAAAGCCTGGCTGGAACATAGGGTGTTATTCGAAAATACTATTGAAAACATAAAAAATACATTACTTCGATACAGTCGTACGGGAAGCTTTTGAGACGTCGAATTCATTCGGACAAATAGGATCTATAAACTTTAAGGAATAAATAAAACCTATTCGTTAGTTCCATTTTAAACACCGCGTTAACTTAGGAAGAGGCAGAAGAAAAGCAAGAGTTGAGTAGAAAGGAGATATAAGTTATTCATATTTTACAAATGACCTTCACGCCCAATTTCTGAAACACTGATCACCGTAGAAATTAAGCCCTCCTCCTGTACAGAGGGTATTATGATACTCTGTACTTAGTGTTACATTCGTAATGTTCGTAATGTTATGAAAATATTTGTTCTTCTTTAATTAAGAAACAAGCCTGCATCATTTTTAATATCTAGAAGACCATTGATTAATAATGTGAAAAAATAATTCATTCGCAATGTACGAAATGAGCAACAATTGTAATGCATTGCGCAATTCTCCAGTCTTTAAAAGAAAAAAAAATTGAATAAAGGAATTTTAATTACCAGGCAACTTAAATCCAGTGCAACGGGAAAACAGCTAAACAAACTATGAAACACTTGACACAACATTTGTTCAAATGCTTGAAAGCAATGACAAACGCAGAGTGGAGCAGTTTTGATATTTCACTATCCTAACTTTAATTATGTTCATAGGTATAAAATATTTGAAATTAGAACATTCACTTTTTTATGTCACTGTTTCCACTTAAAATAATTTGCTTTAAATTATGATTCTTAAATTAAAAAAGGTGGCCTGCCCTGGTTTAATAAAGCCTATTCTATTTACGTATATTAATTTATAAGGTACGTTTAAAATATTGATAAAATCAGTTAAGTATGTTTTGCAGAAAAGTAAATACAAATGTAAGTACTCTGCAAATGCAGGTATTGGGTGATCTTTTACATACAAGAAAATTTATACATAAATAAAATATAAAATATTACAATTTAAAGTCTGGCAGAAAGTTGACGGGACTGTTGTTGCCATTAGCGCATAAAAACATCGGACATGTTTGTTCTTGGCGGGAAACCGCGCGTCTTAGCCCGCCATTACGCGCCGTAAACCAATTTCGACTTTATGGCGTTCCCTTACAAATTAACGTCGGCAATATCGCCGCGGGGCCGCAAATGAGTCTTAATGAAGCCAAATCTGAATAAAAAGCGGCTCTTCGGCATTATAAAATTCCCGACAACCTTTGTTTGGAGCGAAAACGTTTATGTTTATAATACCACGCGATGTTACTGGCAATGATTAAGATTATCTATGTTTTCATTTGCATGAAGCTTCAGTGTTGAGGAAGACACTTAGCATATTTAAGAGCGCATAAAATTATTGCTTGAAAATTGAAATGAATGAATTAACAATTTTGTATCCGAGTGGTTTAGTTGTTTGCATATCTTGAAGTTAGTCAGTACCGTGGGTAGGGCAAAGTGCATAAATACTCATATAACCCAAACCCGTGGGTTCTGGCTGATGAAGCTTTAATAGTCTCGGGACTGAAAGCAAAAACATCAGTTAATACAAGAATACAAGAATACTCATATATTGCATATTTTTGTACACTGAAGCTATTTACTGTGGTAGTGACACCCAACAACTGCAGCTATTGCACCAACGGGCATGTCCGTCCGGGTAAGTACCACAACCACACAGAAGACCGGCGTGAAGTGGAAGTGTAATACTTCTGTGTTCCGACTGATGAATGATTTAGCCTGGGTCTACTTTGTTAAAAGGTGGCAACGCATCTACGGGTGTTGCAAATGTCCATGGGCAGCGTTTATCACTTAACATTAGGTGATCGTAATAACATTAATACCTGTGTGTATCTGCAAATATCTCACCTCTTCCCCTACACGCCATCCCGCTGTCTGTCCGTCCCTATATGTGCTTAGACCTTTAAAACTACGCAACGGATCTTAATGCGGTTTTTTTACTAGATAGAGTGAATCAAGAGGAAGGTTTATATGTATAATACATAGCACCCGTGCGTAGTCGGGTGGGTCGCTTATTAATTATACCTTTACCTTTATTACTGCGGTAGGATCACGCAGCCGTTTCTGCCATTGCAAGTATGTGCAGTCCGAGGAAGTACCACGGCCTCACAGAAGGCCGGCGTAAAGTGCAATTATCATACTTTAATTTTTTTATTTACATTTATTTTTTCGTTGGGTCTGGTGAGAGAGGTAACCGGGACCCACAATTATGGTCAGCAACGCATCTGCACCCCGTCAGGTGATGTTTCAATTCGATTGACAACTAACCAACTAAATCATTTTTTCAATTACAAAGAAATACAGTGATACGTTGAAAATCATGACGCGTCACGCGAAATGATGGATATACGAGTATCTATAAATAAATAGAGTACAATTTAAAATCGATCCACCTACGTATTCATAGGAATCTGCAATGCAGATTCTATTATTTATTGCTGATTACGCTATAACAGCGTATTAAGTCTCATCTAGTATGTCCGACGTAATGGGCGCCCATACATATTCTTAAAAAGTCTAAGTCAAATAATCTTTATTCAATATAGGCTTAACTTAAGTTCTTATTGAACGTCAACAACAAAATCTACCAACTATTTTGTGTGAGACGAATGGATGTCTACAATCGCCGTCGTAGTCGCTTATAATGAAGATAACTGATAACCCTCTCATTTTGCTGCATTTTGGGAACGGAAGCAGGTACGAGTGGTGACCTGTCTCATCAAAAAGCACGAAAACAATTTCCAATATTGTACATTTAAGACTTCAAAATCGATATACTCCAGCTATGATATATCACGATCAAGAATATTTATACCGTATACAGAATTACGAACGATTATGACGGAGTAAATAGAGATAAGTAGCTGTGGTAGCAACTTAATATACGTATATGCTAGACAAATTATAATATAATTAAATTATAATTATAATGCTCTGGGTAATCTGTTAATGCAAGGTATCTGCAACCCACAAGTGACGTGAATATCTATGTCTGGCGTAATCGCCTAACATCAGATGACCGCCTCGGTCGGCACCTTGCATAGAGGAATACACGCCAAAGAGGCATGCTTCAGATCGGCAAATCGCGGGCCACTGCCGCAAATATTGCCGATCGCACTATACGCTGGCCCATTGTGCGTCGTAATAAGCGCCCCCGCAAAACATCCCCGGGCGGGCGTTTAAAAAGCGAAAACTTTCAATAACTTTAATCGCGTGTCACTGGCCGGGAGCACGACGCACCGCCGCTAAGCCCATTGTCCCCACCCCGGCGCCCCCGAGCTTCGGCGGCGAAAACTGTCAACTGTCAGGAGCAGTCAAGGAGGTTTAAACTACGCGGTGTCGTACTCCACTGCGTTCGGTACAAGTGCGTTCAGCGTTGCTTAGTGTTGAGCGCTCGACGCTTTAGCGACGTTCGCGGATTGGGGTTTGCTCTGTGTTTGGCTGACGGGGCTTCGTGTGTACAGTGGCGCACATAATGCTTAAAACAAAGTAGTATGCGTATGAAGTTGAGACAATAGAGGATTTTAATGATTCCAAACATTGGATGAGCCCGCGTCGTGTTCAAAGAAATTAAAAATATATATGAATAACTGTGTATGTATACCGGGATTACGGTAAGCGGATCATCAACGACGTCTGTGCATTAATAAACTGAGCAAAAGTGTTTAGCGTTCTTGTTCGCTCTTTATCTGTTGCGTATATTTCTCTGTTTTCCCATCTGATTTGAAATCATGACAGCTTTATTTACCATTAAAAACTTCATGCACAAACACCACAGTTCTACGTACTTACTCTGATAATGGGGCGGTGAATACGCATTCCCAATTCGTATTTGGGATTATTATATTTAGTATAGGTAGTTTATATCCGTATTTAGAAATGGAGCTGAAACAATCTTGTACTATTCAGTTCTCGTTAACAATCGATTACAGTCGTCGGTTTAATTGCCGTAACAATCAGTGACGTAACACAGCCGTCGCGTTTTCGTCACGAAGGCATTCCAAATGGCGCGTGACGTTCCTCAGCAGTGTAACCTTGACTTTGGACGGACAAGCGGCACTCAAAGTTGCATACCGGGCCTGGTCAAACTTTCCTGTGGTTACCGTTTTGTTTCACACAGCCTTTGCTTTGAAAATTTCATTTATACATAATTTGGTTCGCCCAGGGTGTGCACGAGCAGGAAAAACTAATTAAGTTTTTGTATTACAATTTACGAAATACAAATATTATAATGCACACACAAAATTTCAGCTAAGCTTTTCATTACAGATTTTGATTTGACTTTTTCTGACTACTCACATTAGTTTTGAGTCTAGTTCGGAAAAAGTCAAATCATCAGATCAACGTTACAATTATTTATGTAAGTGATATCGTCTTTCGCTGAAGATTTATATAATACATTTACTCCTAATAACATGGTGGGGTAAATATTTCTTGCACTAAAAAATAAAGAATTAAAACACAGCAGAGGCGCTGCCTTATATAAAGGTGTAGTATTAATCCCCCTTTCATAATTGAGAGAACACAATTAGTTCAGTGTGATCGATAAATTGGCAGAAATAGAACTATCGACAAATCAAACAATCTATGATACACACATATTGATGATTCAGAAACAACCATGATAGATTGTTGGATTTGTTTACGCACTTTTCGTACGTGCAAAACCACTATCTTATATCCGTGTAATTAGCGCAACGCGCGACGGCAAGTCACCCGTCGCGTCCACATTTGGGAATAAGTAAGATAGATGAAACTTTTACAATATAATGTACTCTGTTTACCTCGTTAGGGTTAAGACCGAGCCGTAAACGTTTCCGA